GGAATAGAGAGCAGTTCAAATCCTCTATAGCAGATGCAAGGGACCAGTTTCCTTCTGGTACAAAAAAGTGAAGAAAAAAACAACAGTAAATCAAGATCTCCTACAAAACTTTTACATGGGCTTGAATGGCCAGTTTATAATATGCAAACTGAGGTATTCTCAACAAACCCAAATAGAAGGAAGATTTATTGTACAGTCCAGGCTAATACTTCAACAGATACATGGGAAAAGACAGCATCTATAAACAACAAAACCTATTTCATCCCATATCAGCTAGTATACAATTCTACTAGTAACAATACTCATCTTCAATCAGATAGCACAGAGCAGCCATTAGAAGTAGTCCCGTCACAGATCCACCTTTTCCCACAGCTTAATCGACATAATAATCTAAGAAAAAAGGAAACAAATCTTTCTGCTAGGAAACCCTATAGACTGGCAAACAAATATATTTCAGCAAACAGTGGTTCTACTAATTTTCAGACCAGTCGAAGTAGAGATTCAAGTGAAAGACTGGGATATCACACTAATAGAAAAAGCCATACAAATAAAAGAATACAAAGATAAACTGAAGAGCATTTTGAGACACAACAAAAGGAATATAGCTGATCAACTCACATTCTACACAGATGACTCTTATAAAAAAGGAACAACAGATGGTGAATTCGAAATGGATTTAGCTTGGATCATAATCGAGGAAGACAAAATAGTTAAACAGTTATTAGTAGGAGCTGTTACATGGCCATTAGCAACCAGGGCTAAAATATTAGCTATTCTCATTGCACTATATACAACCCCCAAAATATAATAACTATGATCTATATTGACTGTAACACTGTAATCAAAATATGGAAATCCATCTGCTCACAAATAGAGACATCTACAAGAAGATGGACAAAGATCATCAACTGATCACTTTGGAGTAAGATCAAGGACCTAGTAAAGAAGAAAGACTTGAATCTGAAAATCCTAAAGGTCAAAGCTCACAGAACCAACAGATTCAACAATCTAGTAGACTTACTTGTCAAACAGGTCAGGTGGAAGAACCCAATAATTTGGCATTAGCTACCAGAGCTAGGAGGAGTCCTTACAATAGCAGTATGGGGAGAACATATAGTAGAAATTGGTATCAGAGATTTCATTAAAACATTCAATAAGAAAAAGATTGAATTAGACTGGACAATACAGAAACAGATCCAGGATCTTTGGATTCAAAATGATAAGATTATAGACTAGCCAACCTTCTAAAACCAGTTCAATCCAATCAACACTTTTGATACCTCTTTCAAAACCAATAAAGACAAAAGCTTCCTAATTAACTTAACTCACAATGAACTTCCAATCTTACAGATATTTAAAAAGAGGAAATTAAATGTATATATCACAACTATTTGCCTGGCATGTGAACTGTAAGAAGAGACACTAGGACATCTTTTTGAATACCCAGCCACCAGGGAAACTTGAAAGAACTTATGGCAGAAGGCAAACGAAAAAAATCAAGAAACTCATTGGTAAAGAAATAAAAGACAAGAAAGAAGTTCAATCTAACAGAAGTGGCTGGATGGACAAATGGTTAGAAGAGATCCAGAAATCTGACAGGGATCTTTTTAATATCATCTATGGATATATGAAAGAAAACAAGATCGCCTCCTTGAAAAAGTACCTTAAAGAGCAGCACAAGATTCCACCAGAAAACACACAGAGTATAATTGATAAACTCTGTCAAAAGATGAGAACAAACTTTAAAAAGGAGATCTGGAATACTTACTGTGTCACAGTTATAGAATGGGAAAAGAAGCAAAACATTACAACAGAGGATAAAAGAAACAAGAGGCTCAAGTCCAGACCTGATGAACAGATTGAACAAGATCAAAAAGAATTGCCATTACCTTCAGAGAACTCAAATCTGAAGGATATTAAAGAAATAGAAGAAAAGAAGTATACAGCAATTATCAAGGATTGGGTTTGCCATAGAATTAAGTGATTTGGTTTTTAACTGCAGACAGAACTTAGAATGATCTACAGTAATGACCTGTAGGCAATAATTTTATTAATTAGAGGATTTATCCAAATTAGTAAAGGAGCGAAATATCATTCCCTAGGTTGCATTTAGAGAAATAGTTTTTTGATGACGAGTGAGTCAGTATGTGAAAGTCACAATAATTTGTAAATACCTAGCATATATACAATAAAGACACGTCATGCTGACCTGACTGCGGGTTAAAAAATATATATATATATATATAGGATATCAATCAACTCTTTCTATTATTAATGACATTATCAGAATATGTAAGGTGATTAATATAAGTTTGTTTATATTTGACTATTAATGTATTTTATATTTATCAATTATATTTTGCAATAAATTGTGTTATCTAAAATTCAGAATCAAACTGGGATAGATAAAATTCTTCATAAAATCAAAAAATTTTAAATAACTATAAGAGAAAAGAAACAGTGAATAGATACTTTGAAAATATGATTTGATGTTTATCATTTTCTATTATATAAAATCTCTATAAATATGTTTCAATATGAAAAGCTTTAAGTACTATATTATTAGTTTTTCTTCTTTACAAAACTTTCTTGTGATAGATAGAGAAAATGTTTCTTGAATTTTCTAGATCATAAGAAGTCAAGTTTTGTTTGAAGATAAATATAAACAAGAAAGGAGATTTAAGAGTATTTCTTAAAGTAAAACTTTAATTTAGTTTAAGAATAGTATTAAGACAAGACTTTATTAACAAAGAAATAAAAATTTTCTTATAAACATCTTTATATAATTTTCTTATAGTAATATAATTAGACTTAATTATAATTTATCTTTTGAAATTTTTAAAAATTAATTCTATCAAATATATAGTTTAAATGATTAATTTAGATATAAATAACATATGTAAAGATATTTTGCATATAAATAATTTTTATTTTTACACTTTGTTATTTATTCCATTTATAATATACCAGATTGAAACATGTATGATGTATATGATGTATATGTTTATCATTCCTTATCGGATACGTTACGTGTCAATTGGTTGTATCCAGAAACTTCCAGCAATAGATCGACTAAAGATAACAGAATGCTGAATTATTGGTACTTAAACTCCGGGTTTTATTCAATAAATAAAAAAAAAAGTAATCGTTTCTTTTTTTTTCTTTTAAAAATAAACCAATTTTTTTTCAGACCCAAAATAGTTGGAAATAAGGTTTTCATTATTTCAAGAAGATTTTTACATTTAATAACGATCATAAAAGTGAAACATCATGGTAAAGGAAACAAAATTTTACGACATACTGGAGATTAAACCAGATGCTTCAGAAAACGAAATAAAAAAAGCTTATAAAAAATTGGCCCTCAAGTACCATCCCGACAAGGTAAATTCCTTTTGTCCGAAATGTTCATTCTTGAATCAAAGTTCACGATAGCATATGCGGTCGTTAATGTTTTCGGAGTAAAGTAGATATTGTCACGATATTCACTTTTTAATCATTATTTGGTCACAAAATTCGTAGAATCCAGATACTGGAGAAAAATTTAAAGAAATTGCACACGCTTTCGAAATCCTTTCTGACAGTCAAAAACGGGAGATTTACGATCGGTACGGAGAGGAAGGTCTATCTAACGAAGGAGGAATGGGAATGTCACCCGAAGATCTATTTGCCAGCTTTTTCGGTGGTGGTGTTTTTGGAGGTAGAAGTCGCTCAACAGGTCCAAAGAAAGGAAAGAACTTTAAGCATGCTCTCAAAGTCTCTCTAGAAGATTTTTATAACGGAAAAACCACTAAATTATCCTTAAATAAGGACGTCATCTGTAATACATGTGAAGGTAGAGGTGGAAAGGAAGGCGCAGTTAAGAAGTGCACCTCATGCGATGGTACTGGCTACAAAGTTCATTTGAGGACTTTAGGGCCTATGGTGCAGCAGATTCAACAACAATGTAATGAATGTCATGGTCAGGGTGAAATTATTCGAGAAAAAGATCGGTGTAAGACTTGCAATGGTAAAAAAGTTATTAATGAACGCAAAGTGTTGGAAGTACATATCGAAAAAGGTATGAAAAATGGCCAAGGGATAACATTCTACGGCGAAGCTGATCAAGCCCCTGGCATTGAACCTGGCGATGTTATCATTTATCTGGAGGAAAAACCACACGATCGTTTCATAAGGAAAGGTGACGATCTAGTCCACACAGCAAAAATCGACCTGCTAACATCTTTGGCAGGGGGGTCCTTCTATATAGAGCACCTTGACAATCGAGTACTTGAAGTTAAGATTAACCCATTCGAAGCTATCAAACAAAGTATGTAAAAAAAAAAAAATTTTTTTTTCCTTTGCATTGTATTCTTTATTATAGCTGATGAATATTAAAATCCATTTAAACTATTTAGATGAGATTAAGGCAATTCCTTCTCAAGGCATGCCATCTCATCGTCATCATACCTTCGGTACTCTTTATATCAAATTCGACATTGAATTTCCCGAGCGTAATTGGACGGATGATGTCAATAAGTTGAATCTTCTCAGGGATATCCTTCCTTTGTCTTGCGTACAAAATCCTCCGAATACTGATCATATCGAACAAGTTGAATTATCAAGTCTCGATTCTATTCAACAACAGAATGTATTGAATAATAATCCAGAAGAGGATGATGAGGGTCACGGTCCAAATGTCCAATGTGCTCAACAGTAATTCAAAAGGACGCAGATCAGAGGGATTCGCATTCTTCATACATATAACTTTACTGGATGGCTTGATGCTTGGCACTTGACACTACTAATATTCGGAATAAAAAATCTTGTTACTTCGTTTTAATGGGAACATTTCTTCCTCTTGTTACATTACCTGACATACCCGTCTTTTAGATTTTATATTTTTATATTATACTATGGTGTATGACTTGTAACATAATAGCTTACGCGAAACATATGAATCTAAAGAATTCAGTATCAAATGTAATGTAGTAATATAGAGATGAATTGATTTACCTGGGTTTCTTTATTATATAATTTTTTACTTTAGAAACTGGTACATATCTGCATTTGACTCTGATAATTGTGATTTCTTTTTTTTTTTTCTTTTCTGGACTAATCCTAATTTAATCTGAATTTTTTATCGAATAGAAATTTGGTAAAAGAAAAACAAATATCTTGAATAGTGGAGATAAGTACTTTGTGATAATAAAAAGGTGCGTAATGTTAGTCAACATTAAATGTAAAATGATGATTGACTTAAGTTTTGACGTAATCGGTTGTCTCTTGTTAATAATATACTGTATATATAAATTTTGTTTACAATTTACTTTGCCAAATTAATTAAAATGTATTGATTATATATAATTATATAAAATAACATCATAATAACTCTTTTCACTAATCTTCTGATTACACACAAAAAATATATTTGCAAGAAGTTTTTACACTTCTTTACTAATAAAATTTTAATATTTTCATTAAAACAACATGAAGTATAACTTCAAGAGTCACTTTTACACTTCCTCTCTTGTTTACAAACCTTTTTATTCAAAAATTTAAATTCTAGTGGTCAATAAAAGTCAAGTAACACCTTTAATACCAATAACAAAAAAGTTTTAAAAGGAAGAAAAACTAATTGTAAAGTATCTGGAGATACTGTATTTTTAACCTTTGAAGCAAGAGGTTTATAGAGGTCTTGTTACAAATAAAAGGTTTATTTTCTTCCTTTTGAACTGTTCTAGTTTTCTTATAGTTTCCATTTTTATAATTTTTTAAAAAATTTTACCTATCTTAATTTGATTCTGAATTTTGAGTAACATAAATCCTTATCAAAGGTAATTGATTGATATAAAACATGTTTGTTTCTAAAATGTAAATAAGCTTTTATTAGTTATACTTATGTATTTTACTAATGTATTGATAATTAAAAAGAAAAATCTGTGAAAAAGATACCCTTCAATTAAGCATGTTTTCAAGGAAGATAGTTAGTTATAATATTAAAAAACAAGCAAAATATATAAAACATAATATTTTTATCTTTTAATTAAGTCTCATGGATGAAGAGAAGATTTTTTTTAAAAAAAAGCTGCAATCTCTAAGTTTTTATTTCATTCAGGTAAAGTTTCCATAGAGATTTCTTTATTTCAATCAGGCTAATTCTATTATAATATGATATTGGTATTAATAGTATGATAAGTAAATCTATATATCAATAGAAAAATAAGTTTTTCAAATATTTTTCTTGAAGTCTTTATATTTAGGAATAGTTAAGTTCCTTAAACAGTTCAAAGTTCAGAGAATATCTCAATCAGATAGATCTCTTTTGAGAAGAGATTGTTTGCTTGAATATGAATCTTTTGGAGGGTTATAAATTGTTATTTTTTTTTTTTTTTCTAGAATGTAATTTAACAATCTATTATTTTTAAAATAATCTATAGTAACAAACTATAAGTGTTAATTTTAATAGATAAAGATCATAATAAATCTATTAGAAAAGTATAATATTGTTATTTAAATCTAACTTAGAGTATTTAATTTAGGCTTTGTTTTGTTTAGTCTAAACTAATTTAATAGGCTTCTTACATTTTTTAAGTAGTATAGTTCTTTAACTAATAATATACAAAAACAAGTTAATTATTATATAAAAAACTCTTTTATAAACTCTTTCTGTTGATCCTCTGATCACACACAAAAAAGATATTCGCAAGAAGTTTTATATTTCTTTACTAATAAAGTCTTTACACTTTTATTAAAACAACTTGAAGCTTGTCTTCATATATCTCTTTTACCCTTCCTTACTTGTTTATAAACTCCTTTGAATAAAAACTTGAGTCTCTAGTGGCCTGAAAAGACTCAAGTATACACTTCTT